AGTGAAGTTTGGTGCTACAGTACATCAGATGAAGGGCATTCTTGATTATGTGCATTCGGATGTTTGGGGTCCTACAAAGACTCCATTTTTTAGTGGTAGACATTGGTTCGTGACCTTTGTAGATGATTATTCTAGAAGGTCTTGGTCTACACTATGAAGCATAAAAGTGAGGTGTTGAACATTTTTTTGAGTTGGAAGAAAATGGTTGAGAACCAGACTGGGAGAAAGATTAAGATTTTGAGATCGGATAATGGTGGTGAATACACATCCAACCCTTTCTTTAAAGTTTGCAAAGAGGAAGGGATTGTGAGACATTTTAGTGTCCGGGGAACTCCACAACAAAATGGAGTTGCAGAAAGATTGAATCGAACCTTGCTTGAGAAGGTTAGATGCATGTTGTCTTAGTCGGGTTTGAGCAAGTTGTTTTGGGCAGAGGCAGTTACTTATGCATGTCACATTATCAACCGGTTACCCTCAGCTGCTGTTCAAGGTAAGACACCAATGGAGGTATGGACTGGGAAACCTTCTACTGATTATGATTATATTCATATTTTTGGTTCGCCTGCTTATTTTCATGTAATTGAAAATAAACTTGATCATAGAGCCAAAAAGGCTATCTTTCTTGGTTTTAATAGTGGTGTCAAAGGTTAAAGGTTATGGTGCCCAGAGTTAAAGAAACTTGTAATCAGCAGAGATGTGACATTTGATGAAGAAAGTATGTACAAAGACTCTGAGAAGAATGTGAAAGATTTCCAACAGGTGGAGCTTGAGAAAGTTGCCTCTGGTACTTCAAATCCTATTGTCGCTGATGTCAAAGTCACTACAAGTGAAGAAGTTGGAGACCATGAGGATGTTAAAGAAGTTGAACTTGAAGATTCTATTCAAGTTGAAGAGCAAGTTTCACCTCAAGAGTCTATTGCCAAGAACAGAGGAAATAGACAAATTACCAAGCCAGCTCGGTATAGTGACTATGTTGCTTTTGCTCTTCCTATTATCATTGATGATATTCCATCCAATTTCGAGGAAGCCATTAAGAGTGAGGAGAATGAAAGGTGGTGCAATGCCATGGGTGATGAGATGAATTCTCTCTTGAAGAATAAGACTTGAGAATTAGCTAAATTGCCTAAGGGCAAGAAAGTTATCGGTTGCAAATGGGTGTATGCCAAGAAGGAAGATGCTGATGAGAAAAGCAATGTGAGATTCAAAGCAAGATTAGTTACTAAAGGGTATGCACAAAATGAGGGTATTTACTACAATGAAATCTTTTCTCCAGTTGTGAAGCACTCTTCAATTCGCATTATGTTAGCTCTTATTGCACAGTATGATCTTGAGCTTGTGCAACTTGATGTGAAGATGGCTTTCCAACATGGTGATTTGAATGAAGAGATCTATATGTGTCAACCGGATGGGTATACAGTGAAAGGGAAGGAGAATTTGTTTTGCAAATTAAAGAAATCACTTTATGGCTTGAAGCAATCTCCAAGGCAATGGTATTTGAGGTTTGATAAATTTATAAGAGGCCAAAATTATTCTAGAAGTCAATATGATCATTGTGTGTACTTCAAGAAGTTGCAAGATGGGTTTTTCATTTATTTGTTGATATATGTTGATGATATGTTGATTGCCTTAAAGAATGTTGAAGAGATTGAGAAATTGAAGAAGCAAATGAAGAATGACTTTGAGATGAAGGATCTTGGTGAAGCGAAGAAGATCCTTGGCATGGAGATCACTAGAGATAGGGAGAAGGGTTTGGTCAGTTTGAATCAAAGACAAAGGGTTGGGTCAGTTTGAATGAAAGACAATACTTTGAGAAGTTGATCCGGAAGTTTGGAGTTCATGATTCAACCAAACCGGTTGGTACCCCTTTGGCTCTTCATTTTAAATTGAGCTTTCTACAATGTCCTAAAACTGATAAAGAGAAGCTGCAAATAAAAAATATACCATATGCAAATTTGGTTGGTGGTTTGATGTATGCAATGGTATGCTCTAGACCAGATATTGCTCATGCAATTGGCATGGTGAATCGATATATGCATAATCCAGGTAAAGAGCATTGGCAAGCAGCTAAGTGGATATTGAGGTATCTCCATGGTACTCGAGATGTTGGTTTATGTTTTGAGAAAGATGACTTTGGTATTGGTCATTTTGCAGTTGGTTATGTTGATTCAGATTATGCAGGTGATCTGGATGGAAGGAAGTTTACTATAGGCTATGTGTTTACTATGGCTAAAGGGCCAGTTTGTTGGAGGTCCATTTTGCAGTCGTCTATTGCCTTGTCTACTATAGAGGCTGAATATATGGCAGTTGCTGAAGCTATAAAGGATGCCATTTAGATACATGGGCTGATTAGAGATTTGGGGGTTGATCAGAAGCTGGTGGAGGTACATTGTGATAGTCAGAGTGCCATTTATTTGGCTAAGTATCAGGTTCATCATGCGAGGAACAAGCACATAGATGTGCGTTATCACTTTGTGTGTGAAGTCGTTGGTGAAGAAGAGATTATTCTCCAGAAGATTCCAACTAAAGACAACCCCGCTGATATGTTGACTAAGGTTGTTGGAGTAGCCAAGTTTGTTCATTTTTTGAACTTGACTCACATTTTGCCTATATAAACAAGGCGTTGAGCAGTAGGATTTTTGAAGCATTTGGCTCTGCTTGAGTTATTCTCTTGTTACTTTTGGGAGTGGTTTGTGTTGATTGTTGATTATGTTGGTTTGGCTCGTCATGGCGCTTTCGGAATTTGGCCAAGGTGGAGATTGTTGGATTAGTGGCCAAATTGGATAGGCCTTTATGTAAGCCCAACAACCCATTTAAGGGGCCTTCTTTTCTAGCCCATGTGAAAGTCACGGGTGACTTAGGGTTTTTATTTAACAGCAATTGCTGCTTTTGATTGTAGAAAGGCAGTCGCATAGCAGCTGAAATAGAGCAGCACAGAGAAGAAAAGAGCCATTGCCGCAGCCCCATTTCAGAGAAGGAGAAGTTGTTGCTTCTTTCATTGGTTAGCTATCACTCCATCAAAGTTGTATTTGTTGTATTAGCTTTGAGCTTTGTATAGAGAGAAAATTATTCATTATATTTCTCTCTATTTGTTTCTTTGGTATGTGAGAGTTATTGGGTATATTTGGGGTTTGGGTTGTGAGCTTGCCAACACTTTGTAAACTCCCATTTGGTTGATAGTGGATTATTGGGTGAGCTCCTACTGCTCCGAGGATATACTCTAGTTACACTGACTGTTGAGGAACCTCGTTAAAATCTTGGTGTCCTTTATATTTTGTTCTTGTATTCCATTTGATATATTTCCTGTGGGTTAGCTTGAGTTGGTTCCAACAGGTTTGGTCTATCCTAGCCCAACAATACATTGTGGTCTAAGTAACTAAACCCAACATCATTGAGGATGCATGGGGACTTAAAGATAGTATGCTGCTAAGTTGACAGAAATTGTTAACTCCATACTGCTACTCGTGTATCAGACTAGAAACAACAACTACATTAATTTATGCCACAGTTTAGAGTTAAAAGGATTTTAATTGGTTTTTTTTTTTTTTTTGTAACAAACGATATTATCTATACTAAGGGGGAGTGGAAGTGGGCTTAATTAGCCTCACAATGGGCTATCAATAATGTGGTTCAAATTTGCCTTTGGCGAGAATCGAATCTAAGACCTTTCAAGTAAAGAGGAATATCATTAGACGGTATTACTAACTGATAGATTTTAAATTAATTTATTTGAAAGAAAAATGTTAATAGAGTTAGAGTTAAATAGTTATACCAGGATTAATTGAGTCTCTTTATTAGTAGCCAGTTCTACACTTACCAATTATATGTACCCTCTCTCTATTAGAGGTAGTGCTCACCAACACATATGATCTTATCTTCATTAGAGAGATTGTACAAATGATGGTATAAATAGAAATATTTTTTTTTAAATAGAAATATTAGAGGTTGGTACTGTTTTTTGAACAAACCTTGAGTATAGAAGATTTGAGGCCAAAATTAGAGTTTAGGTGAGAAAAATCACGGGGTTTTGTACTGATGGTTTATTAAGCTGCATTAAATATCTATTTAGCAAGGTGAATTAGGCGGGCGGGTAATGTAGCCATGTTGATTGTTTTTTGAGTTCGAATGTCTCTTCTTATGCGCGTGGACATCTCTTTGGTTACCATAACTAGAATGAAAAAAAATTACACTGGTGTTATATGTATTCTTCTCGTTGATTTATGGCTTATTTTGAAATGCTTTTAAAAAGACTGAAAACGTTTTTAGTAAAAATATTATTTTAAACTAATCCTTAGTAAAAATCCAAGTAGATCATAAAAAAACACTTTTAAGTGTTTCATATAAGAAGCACATATCCAGTGCTTCTTCTAAAAAGCACTTAAAGTGTTTTTGGATCCAAACTCAATTTTACTAAAAGTGTTTTCAGTCAATTTAAAAGCACTTATAAATGAGCTTTTAAATTATTTTTTTTAATACATACGATATTATCTACACTAAATAACGGGAAAGTGGATAAGCCTTATAATAGACTAGTCAAATAATTTGATTCAAAAGTTAACTAAATAATAATAATTTGATTCAAATTCGTCTTGTGGCAAAAATCAAACCGACCACCTTAAACAAAAGAATACAATTGGACTGCACTATTACCTGACACTTTAAAATTAAGTTCTTAAATAAAAACAAAGGCGAAAAATAGAATATGAAGCTTCTTAATACGTCCAGCTGGGCTTGTCCTGGACACATTTGGACATCAGTTTTTTTATTTAATTGATTCCTAACATGTACACGCCAAATGAGACATATCTTCAACATTCTTTCGCATGTAGAAGAAGGAAAAGAAAACATCATTCAAAGGGGATATTAGAAATATAGAATGGACTACTGAGATGATGACACACTTATGGCGTGTTTACAAACTCATAACTGAATTAAGATACGTTCGATTATAGAGTATATCTTCATTTATTAAATTCGGGAGAATAAAAAGAAAGTTGAACCCATACAAAAACTAAACAATCTATTATTTGTGGTCAACAATGGTACGCCTAAAACAATCACTTTCACAAGAGAACCTAAGGGCCCGTTTGTTTGACCGGATTAGGGAGGACTGGACTAGACTAGACTGTAGTCCCTTGTTTGGTCTGCACCAGGATTAAGTTTAATGAGCTTAGGTGGGACTCGCTCGGATCAACCACCTCGCTACGAGTTCTTAACGAGGATCCCCAATTTCGGCCAGATTCGTAAGCCCTCTTCTAATAGAGAGAAAATCATGAGAGAGTTAGTCGTCCAAGACCCAACGTCGCTCGTCATGCTTGTCACATATCGCTCCCTCCTTGCCCTGCTCCATCTTCTTCCTCGCTTCCACAACCATTTTCAAACCCATATCCCGCAAAATTCAAAACAAAAAAAAAAATGCAGTCGTTCCATTTTTCAAATTCAGATCCAACCTGCAAAATAGAACCCAGAAAACCGAAACCAGAAACCATAAAACACCAAAAAAAAAAAATCTGCAATGGTTATAAGCTTAAATCAACGATGGAATTGATTGAAGGCAAACCGAACCCAGAAAACATGAAACTCCTTGATTGCAGACCTTCTCCATCTCCCACTTTCGAGCCAATCGCACATGCAACCCGCTCCCAACTCCTAAATTTTCAATCTCTTTCTTGCTTTGTGGTTTGATTATGAAGATTTGCAGTCAATTATGAAGTTGGGAGATGAATAGAGAACAAAATGAAGAAAAAAGGGAGATGAAGAGGAAGAGGGACGAAGAAAAAAAGGGAGAGGGACGTAGAAAAATTAGGAAGAAAACAGAGGGAGAGGGGCGGAGAAAAAGGAAGAAAGAGGGAAAGAGGGGATGAACGAAATTGGGAATGGAAGGGTTTCTAGAATGAGAAAATAGGCAGATTTAATAATAAAATATAAATATTATTAAATAATGTAAAATACTAATAAATATGAATTAAATAATATAATATTAGAATTTGTTATTAGTCTGTTCCTTAGTCCTGATACTGCTCCAAACGCTTCACTAAACTAGTATAGCTTAGTCTAGTCTAAGCCAGTCCAGTTTAGTCCCTGCAGCTAGTCTAGTTCGAAACAGTCCGACGCAACAAACGCACCCTAAGAGTCTACTTAAGACTTGACTAAGGTACTTTTAAATTAACAAAGAGTTCCTCGTAGGGATGGGCAAATACTCATTGATTATGGATAACCGCGGTTACCCATCTATTTAAATTAAACGATTACGGTTATGGGTAACCGTTTACCCGCGAAATTTAAATAGGCAGTTATGCGTATTAACCGCGGTTATAAACGGGTAATCGTTTACCCATTTATTTTATATATGTAAAACTAACACAAACCATGTTCTCGATCCAATAATAATTAGCACCCAATAAATTAGCAATGAATTCATCGGTTCTTTTCTCAATAACACTGCTACAAGAATGATGATTCTCATCATCAAGGAATTCACCAAATTAATTTAAATTCCTTACGGGTAACCGTGAAATTGACAGAAACGTTTTGACAGAAATGTCTTCTAAACAATTTTTGTAACCCAATAATACTTATCAAATATTATATTTACCTTCATTGGTAACAGTTAAAAATATTATCCGTAAACTACTATTTCAATTATTAGAATGGTATAAGAACTTAAAAAAATTAAAATACGAAAATGTTTGATGAATATACCTATAACGGTGTTTAATTGTCAAAAAAAAAGATAAACGGGGTTAAAAAGGGTAAATGGGTATTAAACGGTTACGGGGGTATGGTTAACTGTTTATAAATGGTTATGGGTATGAGTATAACTGTTTAGGCAATTACCCAACGGGTAAACGGTTATGCAAGTATGGGCATAAATGGTTATGGGTAAATAACCGCATCTACCCGCCTGCCATAACCGCATCTACCCGCCTGCCATAACCGTTGCCCATCCCTAGTTCCTCACCCATTTTCTGGGGAGGTTGCGTGCAGATCCTGTGTCCAATAGAGATGGTGCAAATTTTGTTTTTTTAAAAAAAAAAATAAAAAATTATTTATTTAAAAAAATATTTATATATTTTTAAAAAAAAATTATTTGTTTTATAATTATTATTTTATCTATGTAGACAAGATAAATGATAAGTGGTCTGTCTCAAAAGTGAGACTTTTTTTAAACTCTTTACCACCTCATAGTTTAATGTCAATTTTTGTATCAACATTATAAAACATTGTGCCAAAAACAAGGTGGTGAAGAATCATAAAGAGTTCCACTTTGAGATAGTCCCCTTAACATTATCATATAGACAAATTTGATTGTCATGCCACCAAAGCTTATAAGCCCTATATTTATCACGTCATCATTGAACGGCTAACTTAACATATATTTTAATGTTTGTACAAAATTGATACGAAAATCATGAGTTGTTATATAATATTAAAAGATGCATGAATATGAAATTGGACGAAAACTTAAAAAAGACAAATTGTAATTTACGCTATATTTTGAGTTATTTTTCAGCCATATGCTTGGAAGGACAAAATTCTACCAACAGTATATTTTCTCAATTTTGAAACTAGACCTAAATTAGTAAAAGAAAATATTTCGACTAAATCTACCAGCTTAAGGTTTTGGACCCACATCTTGTTAATAGACCATATGTTAAATTACTCTATATATTGAAGAGATATATACTAGCTTAAGGTTTTTGACTAATTGGCATAATTTACATTTAATATCCGCTTTGATACCATATGAAGAGATATGGCACCAGTGACCCAAGGAATGTTTTACTAAGAGTTCAAACTCGAGTTAGAAGTTTCAAATCTTTGTTCACTTTCCACTAAGCCAACTCTTTGAGATTATTTCTTTAGGTCATTATAAAGTATATAATTTAGAATTCAAATAGTTAAACGAGGAGGCTTAGAATTTTGTTTTTTATTTTTTTTTAAGTAATGATTATTCAAATTTATCTTTGGCGAGAATTGAACCTAAGATATCTTACTTACACATAAAGAAAAATACTACTAAATCGTAATATTGAGAGACCAGAGTTATTGTTTGGAAAGAAAAAAAAAATCTCAATAATGTTAAGACTTAAAAAGAAACTTTCAAAGCCAAATTAATTTTTGAAAAAGTTCCATACGTGGATTCACAAACTTTCCCAAACACACGTGCATGCAACTCAAGCCAAGATTACCATCCCCTTCACTTGGCTTTCCTTTTCCCTTTTTAGTTCTGTCCACACCACCAAAAAGTTTTAAAACCCACCTTTCCCAATCATAAGCTGAATATCATGACGCCAACCAAACTCATCAACTACACCCACTCCCCTTTCCAACATTTCAATCTTTTACTATTTTGTATTTTCATGCAATGATGTATCCACACGGATGATCAAAATTCGAGTTAAGCATCATGAATTAATCAGGATAAAACGTTATCAAAGAAAGTTGAACTTAAGACCTCCAAACGTGAGAATTGAGAAGGAATACCATGAGGCGGAGTCCCCAAAGAAATCCAAAAACTGCCAATCTAAACACTCTCCAAACAATTATTTAATACTATGGTTTAGTTGTATTCTTTTTCACTAGTGAGTGAGAAATCTTAGGTTCGATTCTTAACAAAAGACGAATCTAAACCACATTATTATTACCTCATTGTGACTTAGTCCACTTCTCTATGGTTTGTTAAAAAAAAAAAAAAAAAAAAAACTCTCCAAACAAACCAACGGTCAAAATCATTCCACCACCCTCCACTCACTGTTTTTCATCCGTTTCTTCTTCTTGTTGAACAGTACCCCCCCCCCCCCCCCCCCTTCTCTCTCCTCCTCTCAAGTCCCATCTCATTTACCCGCGTTAATTACCCGGACCAGTAACCAGCCGGTCCCATTTATTACAAATGCGTTATCTTACTACGATACGCCGGAGTGCACCGAGTATTTTCCCCTCTCAGCCGACAGAGTTTTTGTCCTTTTCTCTCCCGCAACGCGCCCTTGAATAGTTCGTCCCACGTCTTCTCGCTCTTCGATGTCCGAAGAAATTGTCATTTCCTGAAATCTAGAGGAATTTTGAAGGAATCCGGAGCAAATGCGATTTCAAAAGCTTAGAGAATTTTAAATTTGCTTGAATTTTGGAAAACGAAGACTCTGAAATTCAGCTGCTTTGATCTGCTTCGACCATAGGGTTTTAGTGGTGGTGGTGCTGGGGGCGGAAGCTGTGGTGGTGTGGGAAACCGATGTTGATCAAACATGCCGAGCATTAGAGCTCCGGCGACGAAGAAAACTACAACACTCACGGTTAGCATTTGCTGCTGTGTAAATTTCATGGGCATTGCATTGCCTTGGTTCAGGTAATTGATTTCGAGCTCGCATTGCTGCAGGTTGCTGTGAAATGCAGGCCGTTTAGGCTGAGAGAGCGCGGCCGCGACATTGTTCGAGTGATTGACAATAAGGTTTGTGCTGGCTTAGACTTAGAACTTGTCTAATTTGAATGATATTATATATATATATGTGTGTGTGTGTGTGTGTGTGAATATATGTATGTATTGATTTGAAATTTGAAATTTTACTTGTAGGAGGTGCTTGTGTTAGATCCTGATCTGTCAAAGAACTACCTTGAACGAATACAGAATCGAACAAAGGAAAAGAAGTATTGTTTTGATCATGCGTTTGACCCGGTTTCTTCTAATTTGGTACATGAATACTGAATCTTATGCTTTTTTATTTCTCATGATTAGTTATGGTGTATATATCTGCTTGAAGCACTCGACTTAGCATAGTTTCTATATTTTTGGTTGCTTCTAGGTAAAGTACATGTCTTGACAATGTTTAATATATCCAGGATGTCTACACAAAATGCATATCTTCCGTGATCTCTGGGGTTGTTCATGGTCTCAATGCAACTGTGTTTGCATACGGTTCTACCGGGAGGTACTAAAGCGATATATTCTTGTTTTTTATTTTTCACCTCTCGTGGTCTCAAGGTTTTGCTTGACTTTACCAGTTGAAGCAATTTGCATTTTTTGCAACTCAGCCCTTCGCGATCACTCAAAAATCTAGACATTGTGCATTTGACAAAAGTTATTAATTAGGTCAACGTCTAGATGTGCGAGTTCAAAAGAACCATATAAGTAAAATCGGGATGCTTTCTTTCAGCGTATGATCTCACCATTCATGATTTGCATTATCCATTCCTTGATATCCTCCAGAATATCTTAAAATTTCTCTGTACATTTCCAGTGGTAAAACTTATACGATGGTCGGGACACAGGATGATCCAGGACTCATGGTTCTCAGTCTGCATACAATTTTTGATCTAATAAGGAAGGACAAGAGCTCTGATGAATTTGAAGTTACCTGTTCCTATCTTGAAGTCTACAATGAGGTGGGACGTCCAACTTATGAAGAAATTTAATTTATTAACAACGCCTGTGTTCTTTTTTGAAAAGATGTTTCATATTTTATTTATTTAGGTCATCTATGATTTGCTTGAAAAGTCATCCGGCTATTTGGAACTCAGAGAGGACCCAGAGCAAGGAGTAATTGTTGCTGGGCTGAGGTGTATCAAGGTTGACACTTAGCTATCTATTTGCATCTGGTGTGACTATCTGTGAATAATTGTCAATCTTTTTCTGTATTTTTATTTTTCCATTTGTTAAATGTAATTTGTTAGTTATTTTGGGTCTCTTTCTAGTACTACTATGAAAACGGTTCTTCAATTGGACGAACCAATTATGTACTATGGGAAGGATTCTTACTCATCCATTGTGAATTGTCTTACTTATTCAGGTACAATCAGCGGATAAGATTCTTGAACTCTTAAACTTGGGGAATAGCCGACGGAAAACTGAAAGTACAGAGGCTAATACAACATCGTCTAGGTAGGTTGAATTCATTTGTGTGCTGTGGACATACCATTATCATTGTTGTCCCTTTGAGTTTTAATCATGCTTTGGACAATAGGCTGTACTTGGAAACCACTGTTCTTCCGATTTCATTGCTCTAAACCTTCTATACAGATTCTACCATACCTTAGATACCAACAACTGGATAGCTTTGTTAGGTTTAGGTGCGTGTTCAATAGGTTCTATGAACCCTTCTGTGGTCAGGTGTTTTGGTTATACTTGCATATGATTTGTTTCAAACAGTGAATCACATTTTCAACTATTTAAAATGTACTGCATCAAATATAATAGAATATTCTATGTGGAGTTTATTTTCAAAAGGTAAGGATATTTTACAATTGAATGCAGATCACAGAAGATACAATACTAGTAACAACCGGTTTAAAGTAATAGTTGCTATCATTTTTAATATTTCCACCAAAATCAGCAAAACCACTCTAAATTTTGAAAATAAAGTGTAACCTTATTATTCATACAAAATTTTTCCCATTAACCAGATCACATGCAGTGCTGGAAATAAAAGTAAAAAGGAAACAGAGAAATAAGTACCGTAATCAAGTAATGCGAGGAAAACTCGCACTTGTGGATCTTGCTGGTAGCGAACGAGCTTCGGAAACAAACAGTGGAGGCCAAAAGTTAAGGGATGGAGCAAATATTAACCGTTCACTTCTTGCCTTAGCAAACTGCATAAATGCACTTGGGAAACAGCAAAAGAAGGGTCTTGCTTATGTTCCTTACCGTAATAGGTATATGATTGTAATTTTTAATCCTGAAGTCCTCCCTGCTGCTGTAGTTAGCTTCCTGCTACTGTAGTTAATGTAATTAGTTTTGCAGCAAATTGACACGAATACTCAAGGATGGTTTGAGTGGCAATTCTCAAATGATCATGGTTGCAACTGTATCCCCTGTGGACAGTCAGTATCATCACACTGTGAATACCTTGAAATATGCTGATCGAGCAAAGGAAATAAAGACACACATCCAGGTGAGAGCCAAATATGCATGAAGACATATTCATTTTGGATCATCAAAACATGATTAAGTAATAGTCCAATTCCACATTGAAGACAATTAATGCTCAGTTTCATTCTATGATAGATTAATCAATCTGCTAATCTGTCATGGTCTCATTTGTAGTAAGCTGTTAAGAAATAAGATTTTAAAATTGGTATTGTGCTTTAGCTTTCCACTTAGGTTGCATACTAGCATGTGGTTCTTTGTTGATTGATTTGTCCATGCTGCATGTTGCCTTAGTTTAACTGCCAATTTTGTCTTTCATATGGGTTTCTATGCACTAATTTGTTGGATTTGCAGAAAATTCCTTTTCTTGTACTTGTGTATCACTGGCTAGACTGGTACTTTTATATATGCACTGAATTTCTAACAACAATCACGTTTACTTCACAGAAAAACATTGGCACTATTGATACCCATGTATTAGACTACCAGCAAATGATTGCCAGTCTTCAGGTGAGTGGTTGAATTGGTTTGATCTATTGGATTTTATTTATAATTTTTATTTTCTTCTAAGATAACCTATTTCGGATTGCAGATTGAGGTTTGTCAATTGAGAAAGGAACTAGCTGAAAAGGAATCACAGCTAAGTGTCAAACCTGTTGAAAATGCTGCAGACGATGAACTTTCTTGGTTGAATATTTTGAGCCATGAAACCAGTGAAAATGTTCAGGAAAGGATAAACTTACAGAAGGCATCATTTGAGCTTGAGGAAACCAACCTTCGTAACCGGATTGAACTCCAACATCTTGACGATGCTATAGCAAAACAACAGGTTAGAGTGTACCACTTACAATGCAGTTTTACGAAAAAGAGTTTGTATTCTGCACATTATGTCTTTTAGCACCTACAATTCATCTCAATTAGTTCAGAGTTTCTGCTCCGAAGAAAAGCTATGACATTCCTAAGAAACAACTTTGTTATGGACTATAAAGTTCTTTTCATTCCCACTCTCCTCGTTTTGTAAAGAGGTTTTGTAGGTTCAAACAGATCTGGAGACGAAATTATGTCAACTTTCTTGCATTTATTTACTTTATTGGGGAACTGAATAATATAAACTAATTCATGAGTACCTTTTCTGTGTTACAGGCTATTGGAAATGATAGTGAAATTTTAGAGGCCATGAGAACAAGGCGGCAAGTTATTTTGGATAACATCCGTGACAATGATGAAGCTGGTGTTAATTACCATATGGTAATATCTCAGCTGTAGACTGTAGTCAAACTTGCAAAAAAAATACAACTTCATCAGCTTTTGATTTTATTGCCAAGTTACCAACTCTACTTTTTGTAGGAAATCGAAGCAAATGAGAAGCATCGATGCCATCTTCAAAATATGATTGAGGAGGCCATTAGTAACAATGGAAATAAAACGTACTTGCGTATTCTTAGTCAATACAGGCTCTTGGTGAGTTGATATTAAACCCAAACTGAATATACATATACTGGACCTTGACAAAATAAATTAGTAAATGACTGTTTTGAGTTGAATATGCATTTATTTGAAATTCGTGACTAAAAAAACTTGAGCAAGATCATTGGTGTAGATTTTATTTCTCTCAAGATAAATGTTTATCTAATGCCAATGACACAAATTTTCTTAAGAAATTCTTAACAGTTGCATTAGCATACTGCTAACTGTTATGAGTTGCATCAGTATTACCAATTTTAATATATTCTAAAGCTCAATTTCTCAGATTTACATATTGGCGGTAAACTTTCTGTTAGGTGTAACAGTTTTACTTCAATTAATATAGGGAATGGCAAATACTGAGCTTCAATTTGAAATGGCAATGAGGGATCAAGTGATTAACAGCCAGCGGGAAGCACTGAGAAACATGTGGGACTTGCTTATGGGGTTAGGACTTGATGAGAGACAGATCATGGACCTTGCATCTATGAAGGGAATAACAATAGAAGAAGACTCTACAACGGCACCCCATCTGGGCCTTTCTGTTAGGGAGCAATCATCAGATTTGGATTCGAGAAAATATGCTTCTTTTGGTCCTTGTCGTGGCATGGGGCATTCATATTCTAGACCATCTTCCACCTTTCAGCAGTCTCAAGAGTTAGGTCTGAGGTCATTTCCCCAGGGGCATTTGGATTTGACTCCGTCCTTTTGCAGAGAGGAACATCACAGTTCATATTACTTACTGTCACATGACCATTCTCCTTCAGCCTGTATGTGTACAAGGACAAGTATTGAGCACTGGGTTGGTGGAAGGTCAAGTTCGTGGTTTGGAACTATGGATAAACATCCTCAAGATTTGCGAAAATCATATCCAGTGAGACAGAACTGAAGCTTCAGCAGATAGTGTAATCTGTATACCAGCGGCATCTCTTGGTATTGATTTTACCAAACAGAACAAGGTATTTGCACACGATTATCCTGGTGGAGTGCTTGTTAGCCAAGTAGATTTATATGTAGGCCATGTGGTACAACTCAAGGTACGCGTATAGCCCATTCAAACAAGATCAAAATACTGAAAGTCTAAACCTTCCAACTGCTCAGATTTATCCCACGTTCTTTTGGTTCTGATAACCCTGACACCCAGGCCTCCCTTCTAATATTCGGTAGCCTCCTTGTATTTAGGTTTTACCCCTTATCTGCCCTTATTGTTTTTGTCTGCCATCTTCTTCCCTGCATGTACGCGTGTGTAGTAGAGTTACGGTCTCTGTAAGGTTAACTTGGCAGGTGATTTTACTGACTGTATGCAAAGAGATGGGGGTTTTGGATAGGAGGAAGAAGAGAAACGAAAGGGGTCAGTTAAAATAGGTATGTCTGAGTCTTCTGACACTCCGACTCGCGGAATGTGGTTCTTGTGCTGTGTACATATGTTATGAACATGCCCGGCTGATTATCAAACTTATTACTACTTTGCTGTGTACTAATTAGTTCGTTTGTTCAAAATTGGAAGTACTTTTGTATGAGTGAAAAAGTGCGCAGCTTACTTTTAAAGTGAATCCTTTTCTTTTTCGGAGATGATTTTTGCACGCCCATTTGCTCGTTCTACACATCCATATTCTTCTCCACAATTAAACATGGGTGTGCAGGGGAGGAAAATAGGTATTTAGGAAACTTACGCAATTGTGGACTGGTTTAGTTGTTGATGTTAGAAATTCCCATGTTGATTTTCCTTCCTTTCTATTCCCTTCTCAACATTACTTTACTTAACGTTAATTGTTAAGTGGAAGTTGAATTTGTGGGGATCGAACGCTCACTAAAATGCAAGGCATGATTGTTTTTTGTCACTGCAGTAAAACGTCATATGCTAAATTTCTGTTTAAAATTCTATAAACAAACGATATGAGCATATAGAGCACAAATTGATTACGTGTAGAAGAATTCACCTTGGGATTTTTCAAACAATTTGGATTTGGGGATATGAAATTTTTCGTGAGATTTGGTTTTTGGATTAAATCTTAATTGTTGAACATCAAAGTAAAGATTGACAATATAGTGATAAAAAATTGACATATAACGATCAAACTTTGACAACAAACAACTCAAAAATGACGATATTATCATCATGATCAATTTTAGTAAAAATAAATGTGTGAAATTGTAAACGAAGGATTTCGAGTCTCTACATTTACCATTTGTACATTTACTTGCATTTAATATTCTAAAGGAGATGTACGCGATGAGTGAGTTAGCCAATAAAATTGAGGTACTTGGACTTGGAATTGTTGAGAAGGGGAAGTGAGTGGATTCTGTGTTGGAGAGTTGGAAGACGGAAGCTGCGGGGAAGAGAAGAGGAAGGAGGAAGGAGGAAGGAGGAAGAGTAATTCTGTGTTGGACTTGGAATTGTGCTGCAACTTGGGTTTTTTTTTTTTTTTTTTTTTTTTGGTTTTTTTTTCTTCATTTTCAATTAGTAATTATCGTATTTTAATTTTAATTTTAATTTTTTTAAAAAACTGAATTTTTTAATCCACATGGCGATACATGAATAGTATTGTCCCCACATCATGCTACATCAACCAACTAACGGAAATTTTAACGGAATTGGATGCCAAAGACTAAATTGATGTGTTAGGTCAATTTCAAGGATAAAATTGATCGATTTTCAATTTTAATGACCAAAATGATGAATTAGTTTAATTTCAGGGACCAATAATGATGAAATAAAAAAGTGTTTTATGATTGTGACTTTTTTAGTTCTCCTTAAACTTTATACACATTTTTCGTAGAGGTTAATATTTGCATTCCCTTGTGTCCTTACATTGCATTTGGGCGAATAAATTTAAGATTACTAAATAATTATAAAATAACGAATATTGAAATGATGAAATTTATTTTCTAGAATTTATAAATTTTATTGTTTTGTTAACCTAAAAGAAGAGTGAAATTTAAATACAAGATATACTTAGGAAATGTGCTAGTAGTGGCAGTGGAGAGGAAGCAGTGATGACGATGGGTAGTGAGGGAGCCAATAATATGTGATGGTGGCGACAACTATGATGGTGGGTTGTGGCTGCAGCTCATGATTGAGTTTTTTTGTATTTCACTTTTAAAACTCTAATTTATGAAAATTCTAAATCGACAATTATTTATATTAAATTTAACTTGGGAATTGAAAGGTTTCAAATTCAAAGTTTTTTTTCTATGTAAAATTTTTATGTTTACGAATCCGAACAAAAATTCAAATTCATAAACATAAAAATTAGTACATAATTAATTTATACTAATTTTTGTCCAAATTTCAAATTTATCCGCACAAAATCATTTTTCGTTCAGCCAAATGAAGGTGCATTCCCACGCATTAGCCATCTCACCCAGTCACTCTCCCTCCGAAAATCCCAAAGCCCGGGAAACCCCAAAGCCCCCAAAAAAAACCAAATCAAATCGCCAATGTCGAAGAAACCGTCGAACACCTTCAAACCCTACATTCTCTGCGAAACTCTAACGGGCCACAAGAGCGCCATCGCCGGCTTCAAATTCTCCTCCGACGGTCGCCTCTGCCGACAAGACCATCCGCACCTACTCCATCGCCTTCCGCGATGATTCCTCCACTCCCACCATTTCCCCCGCCCAGACCTTCGAAGGCCACTCCCAGGGCATCTCAGATCTCGCCTTCTCCGCCGACTCTCGCTTCATGGTCTCGGCCTCCGACGACAAGACCCTCCGCCTCTGGGACGTCGCCACCGGCCAAATGGCCACACCAACTACGTCTTCTGCGCCAACTTCAACCCACAGTCCAATATGATCGTCTCGGGTTCCTTCGACGAAACGGTGCGTATTTGGGATGTTAAGACCGGGAAATGCTTGAAGGTTTTGCCGGCTCACTTCGACCCTGTCACCGCCGTCGATTTCAATCGGGATGGCTCGGTTATCGTCTCCAGCAGCTATGATGGGTTGTGCAGGACCTGGGATGCCTCCACTGGTCACTGCACCAAGACATTGATCGATGATGAAAATCCTCCGGTTTCGTATGTTAAATTTGCGCCTCATGGCAAGTACATTCTTGTTGGCACATTGGATGATACTTTGGTAAGCTCAGTTCCCACTTCTTACTTTTCGTAATTTACGACTGTTTTGTTGAATTTGAATGGCTTCGTTTAAACCCTCTGTCGATGCTCACTTCAATTTATAAGATGAAGTACTTCAAATATCATGGTTGCGATCACTAAATATTGATTAGAACTCTGTTAATTGGGTAGTGGAAAGTTGATGGTTCTGAATGCTCACTCATGACAAAATATTGGTTCCGTTTGTACTTGTTCTTACTCAAGTTTCAACCTTTTCGTGTAATGTTATTCATGTACATGTGAAATGCTTGATAATTGGTTCTGAAACATCTGCACTGGTTCTTTAGGTCTGGTTTATCTGTTGATGCCACATTTGACACATTGCTTTCAGCATTTGACAGATCGGATTTTAGTGCTTTTTACATGCTTTTTTGAGGAATGCAGCTTGAACTAGATGTAGGTTCAATAAATTTTCCTTTGGAAAACTGATTTTCTCCATTCTTAGGGCTATGGTTTTCTGTCCATCTCCTTTTGCAATTATTTTTGTATCTTCCGTGTGCATGATTTGAAGACAAACACGTGGGTATATCTTTTGGTTATGGTATTATATACATGAAAGTACATTAGTAGAACAATGGACTATGTTAAAACAATTTGATAAACTGGAACGGTTATTACATGCTCATTTGCTAACCATTTTAGAGAGGGAGTGAGGAAGAGGGAGGCAAATATTCCCGTCTCATATCATCTCTTTCTTATCTACCCGCCCCTCTCTCCTCTATCCATTTTCTTTTAAGAAGCAGAAATTGTTTGGATCAAAACTTGAACTTTGGGCTCAAGAAAGGAGCTGGCCCAAAAGGAGGCCCGAAGGGAAAGATAGCCGAAGCCCAGTCAAAGCCCAGAAGGCAGAAAAGGCCTTTCCTGACTTGGTGCAGCTCATGAAGACCACTTGCTTACCTACCCAAGGGCCAAGTGGTATAGACTGACCAGCTACACAGCCCATAAAGTACTTTATGGTGGCATTACATGTAAAAAAGCTGATGAGTCATCACCCTCAAACTGCATTCGGGCAAGGCTGCTGCTACAGAAGGCCAAGCCGAGTTGTTTATATAAGAAGAAAGAAAAACCAGGAATAAGGACACTCAATCAAACAAACAAATGCAAGCACAAACTCTGCTCAAAGCCAGATTTACCTTCAAAACAAAGCTGTAGTTAGCCTTCATCCCTCTCAGGATAAGCCTTCATCCCTCGCGGGATAACCCTCCCTTTAAACCTTTGTAATAGCTCTGCTACCCTGTTCAACCCTGCTGTAGTATCGATTCATCTTTTGTAATCCCTCTCTCTATCCCTCTAAGCTTTCAGACCCTTGACAAAACTACAAAGATAGGAACCTACAAGACGAGCAACCTTACCTGATAAGGTTTAACCTTGCCCGACCTTTTTTGCTTTGTTTTTGTCTTTTCAATATGTTGCATACTTCCAGTTATATGCAAGTTATTTCTAGCAATATGACTATTAAAAGGCTCTCTCAGTACTTGAATCCGATTTGAATATATCTTCAGTGTTCAAACCAGATCCAAGTCCTAAGCCCTCGGGCATGTAAATCTGATCAGTTAAAAGTCCTTGGCCTCAAGGCATAAAAAAGAACCTCATGTGGACTTAACCCATCCACGACAGTCCTTGATAAACGAGAAGTCCGAAGTTACTTGGGGTGCAAGTAATCGACCTACCCTCTAGTTTTATTTCTATTATGTTATGATTACCATAGAACGCTTGAGCATGGAATAAATTCTGATGGAAAGCCTCAAGGCCTACACCTAAGGCCCCATAAAGGCATCCATTTGGATTCATTCCGCTCTGCGATCTAGAGAGTCTAAGTATAAGAACGAACTCTGATGGGAAGCCTCAAGGCCTACACCTAAGGCCCCACAAAGGCACCTATTTGGGTTCATTCTACTTCTTGGACTCGGGTAATCAGAAGTATAATAGTTAAAAAACTCCTGCAATTACGAGAACAGATATGATATGTTCGAGCACTGGTTTAGTTATTAATAGGGAGCCTCAAGGCCTACACCTAAGGCCCCACAAAGGCACCTGTTATAACTAACACGGTTTCTCGGATATATACATATATACAACTAAAACTCAACATCCATTTTACATCTGCCATGCTGAAGATGGCAGTGGCACACCTGAGCACTTAAAAGTTAACCTTGATTGTGAGCCTCAAGGCCTACACCTAAGGCCCCACAAAGGCACCCTCAAAGTTAACGATGTCCTTCTCTTTCAGCCTAGCCCGACGAGCCTTGCCCGACGAGCCTTGCCCGACAAGACTTACCCGACGAGACTTGCCCGACAAAGCCCGATAGTGAAGCAGAAGCCCGACAGCAGCCCTCAACCGGCGCCAACCTCCAGGGGAGCTGTGTGCTCGTCGGCCAGGAAACATCCCCGACGGAAATTCCTGACGCGAACATAGTTTTGGCACACCCAGTGGGACCTCTACATTTGATCA